CCATCTAGCCTGTTTGAAAACCTCCAAAGGAAAGCCCATCACCTCCCGAGGAAGCCTGTTCCACTGAGGAACCATTCTGTCAGCAAGTTTTACCTAATGTTTAGCTGAAAACTCTTTTGATTTAATTTCAACCTGTTGGTTCTGGTCTGACCTGCTGGGGCAGCAGAAAACAACTCCGCACCATCCTCTATAGACAGTCCTTCAAGTACCTGAAGATGGTTATCATATCACCTCTCAGTTGTCTCCTCTCTGGGCTAAACATACTCAGCTCCTCCAACCCTTCCTCATAGGACTTGGTCTCCAGACCCCTCAACATCTTCGTTGCCCTCCTCTGGACATGTTCCAACTTGTCTATCTCCTTTCTAAATTGTGGTGCCCAAAACTGAACACAACACTCTAGGTGAGGTCTAACCAGAGCAGAGTAAAGCGATACCGTCACTTCACATGATCTAGACACTGAATGCGGCTTAAGCTGCAGGCATTTTCTTTGTGAGGAGGTCAAAGGTTTCCCCCCACTGTATTTTATACATGTGTTTTTAAAAATGGAACTGTAAGCTGCCTAAGACACAAGGGAAAGTTGGGGGGGAGGATAAAATTTGTAAAAAATAAAAACAAGCAACTAGACACTTAGTTGGAAACCTTGCAAGCTGGCAGTCCTGCATGCATAGGGGTCAAGAGTGCAACTCTGGCCTGTCTATCACTCTGCGTTCAGTTTGGGCCTATAAATCAGAACGGGTCCTGAAGTTGGGACTGGGAGAGGGTTTTATCTTCTTGAGCAGCCAGGATACTATGGCAGGCTTCTCCTTTCCGTGCAAAAGGCTGATCCGCTTTTCAGACTCATCCTGTCTCTATCCTGGTAGATAGCAGAGTATCTCTACAGTGCCTTCATGGTGTTTTGAAAATGGAGCTGCCAAACTCACTTCAAGCGGCAGCAGTGAAGAGAATACCTGTGAGCAGAGAGACAGACAGGGGGCCTCTCAAGAGTCCGGAAAAGGGCCTGCCGCATGCCAACACTTCCCATCTCTTTTGTGGCATGTAATTAAAATCTGGAGACGCGGCTGCCAATTACAACAAAAGGAATCAAAGAGGGACCACTTAGGCTTTTTAGAAAGCCTTTGTATTAAGCCATTATCGGCTTCTAGGATTCCGCCTGTCAATAAAAGCCCTGCTAACCCGAACAGCACACACTCGCCGGAAGATCTTCCAGGGAAGCCCAGATGTAATCAGAGACGGTTGGGCTCACAAGACATTCAAAGGCTACCTGCCAAAGCTTTAGGAGGGGTGGCAGAATGCCTGATGCTGTCTAGTAAACTACAAACTTACTGAAGCATGGAATGAAACCTTTTTTAAAAAGCACATCCTCAGGAATATGGAGGATATAACATCGGCTGGTGGCAGCCAATGCTCCCTCTAAGCTGTGGAGTCTTGTGAGCAAAAATTCCACTTTGTGATCTAGTAGCGTTAAAGTTGCGAGCAAGTGATTTGGCTACTGCATGAATTAGTTTGCTCTGGAGCCCTCCTTCCTGAGCTAAGACAAAAATGTGTGAGCTGGAGGCTAAAAAACTGTGGAGTTAGCTCACACTAACTCAGCTTAGAGGGAACACTGGTGGCAGCACACAATTCTCAGACTAAGCACCAATCCAGGTTCACATTCTTTACTCTTCTCTCCAACTTTTGCTTGGCCCCAGGGTCTAAATCTGAGGGGAACCGCATATTACTAAATCACCCCAGGCTCTATCATATTCAGGGTCTTACCATATTTAGAGCAAGATGGGCAGTCGTGTTAGTCTGTCTGTAGCAGCAGGAAAGAACAAGAGTCCCAACAGCACCTTAAAGACGAACAAAGTTTGTGGCAGGGTATGAGCTTTCGTGAGTCACTGCTCACCGTATTTGTTAGTGTTGTGTACTACCAAACTGTCCTGAAACAGAAAGCATGTTTTTACATTCTCCAAAATGTGGACAACAAAGGGTGAGGTAGAGCAGAACAGGTCAATGGGAGCTTGTGTGAAGTTACCAGAAAGCAAGGCAATGCGACGCAGCTGCTGGCACTGATTACGAATGTACTACATGGCTGCACTGGAAAAGCAAACTGGAGAGTAAGCTCCCCCGCCCAAAAAAAAGTTACCCTCTTTGGTTCCTTTCCCCTCCTCCTTTTGGATTCAGAACCTCCTTTACAAATGTTTTCTTTGATGACTCAGGTGATGAGTGAACACTCTCTTCTGCCATCTCCTTCGCCTTTCTGGTCTATAGTGGTCCAGAAATGACACAGGAGCACAGACTGTTGCTCTGTTGTTAAATCTAAGTGGGTTGTAGTCTGGTCATCATCTGGATGGGAGTCTACCCTCAGAGCCCAAACTCATCCTTCTTATATTTTCATACCCAACTTTCCTTTCATCTAGAAAACTGTGACAAACAGGTTAGGTTCCACCTCTCCCTAAGAGTGACCAATGAGAGCTGAAGGAATGTTAGCAAGAGAGTCGGCTGAAAAACAGCAAGGAAGGGAACTGAGAGCAGTTCTGGAGAGTGAGTCTAGCTGAGTGAAGCTGTGGCAAAGAGGACCGTAAAGCTGACTGGGGAAAGATCCCAAAAGCTGGAAAAGGGAAACAGTTCAAAAGTTCAAATGAAAAGTTGTAACCTCTACACCAGGTTGGTGTAGTGGTTAAGTGCACGTACTCTAATCTGGGAGAATCGGGTTTGATTCCCCACTCCTCCACTTGCAGCTGCTGGATGACCTTGGGTAAGCCATAGTTCTGTCAGAGCTTTTCTCTCAAGGACAGTTCTGAAAAGAGTCCTCTCAGCCCTACCTACCTCACAGGGTGTCTGTTGTGGGGAGAGGAAGGACAGGCGCTTGTAAGCCACTCTGAGACTCGGAATGTAGGGTGGGGTATAAATCCAATCTCTTCTTTTTCTTCTATCTGACTTTCTTCAGTGTTATGATCAACTGATAAATACAAGTCAACTCTTTGTTTAAGCCTGTGGGCTGGTTGTCTCAGGGAAAGAAATCTACACATAGACACACATACACACAAGCTAAGATCTCGGTCTATATATACTTTAAGATGTGAATAAATGGTAGCAGCATGTGAATGGAACAGTGTTTGAGCCCCCAAGCCCAATAACACTGTTATTGGGATGTGGCCACCAAATGTCTTACAATCACAAATGATTTTACATAATAAGATCAAATGTGGAGGAAGATTTCCTAATTCTAGATTAATAGGGTAGATACACAACTTCAAAACATCATTTGTATCTAATGTGCAGTGTTTAAAATGGAATTGTCTTTGTATTAAAATCTCATCATGCTTATAAATAAGCAATTATTTTTAATAAGCTAGAACAGCTCATATGAAACGATCAGTCAGGAGCTCATATTAAAAATATTAGCTTTGATAAGAATGGGTAACTGCTGGTGATGGGGTTACACTTCAGACAAAAAAGCCATGATCGTTACTCAGATCAAAGCAGACAGCTTGGACATTTTTTAATGTGACTGATTTGGGGATAAGCGTGGGCAGAGGAGGCCAACTGCTTTCTGGCATAGACGTGAAATCTTAAAGAAAAATAATTAAGAGAGTGGTCAGGTGTGCCAGCTGAAGCAGCTTTATGATGAACTGGGTTTTAAAGCAATTCTTACCCATTCTTGTTACTAAGGGAACTTCGAGGAGGAACGTCATCCTTAATTGCTGTGTTAGCTCCTGGGAAACACACAGCATGGATCAGATTTAAGAAAAACTGGAATTAAAAGACAGTTTTATCAACCTTATTTTAGCCAGCTACCAGGTATACTTTGTTTAAAAGAAAATCTTGGAAATGTTTAGACATGTGGGCCCCTTTTCTGCAGGTTCTCCTTCACAATCTCTGATGCATGATGCAGTAAAATGACTGGTTTAGGGTTGCCAAGTGGAAATTTCTTCTTACTGGGGGACTCCCGGTCCGTGGCTGGAGTGTGTGCGTGCGAAGCGCCGCACGCACATCACCCGTAGATGACGTGACGACGCTGGGCACGCTGGGGGCGGGCCCACGACCATCCGAGGGAAAACCATAGTTTTCCCATCCGAGGGAAAACTAGTTTTCCCTCGGATGACCGTGGCCCTGCCCCCAGCGTGCCCGGCGTGGTCGCGTCACTTCTGGGTGACGCGCACGTCGGGGGGGGGGGGAACGGTGGGGAATGGGCCTCTGGGGCGGGGTTTTCCCCGCCCCCCCGGGGGGACTTGGGAAGCCTCGTTTGGTTTAAGGAAGTGGCTTATCTCACTGGCTGTCCAACCTGCTGGGACAAAAGTTGCAGACAAACCATCCCAGTGAGAAAGGGGGCTTTTCTAGAATGGAATGTGAACAGGTTTCTTGGCCTATTGAGCTTTTGTGGGCCCCGACTACAAGCAATCATTCGATTATTATACCTGAGAGAAGGTCCATTTGGAAAGATTAATGCTCCTTCATTTTGTAAGTTTTAAGGAGCAGCAGAAATAAATGAAACAAGCTTCTCAAAGAAGAAAAAAGAAACCCACAACATTTTAATGAATGTTACTTGTGATCTGGAGAACCCTGGAGTATGGATGGGCATGGACCAAAAAAAGGCGGTTCGGTGCAGGGTACGTGGGAACCCAGGGACCAAACCCCAAACTGGCCTCACATGGACCAAACCAGTCCAGGAAATTCAGGATGCAGCAGAATGCCTCCCTGGGGAGTCCCTATTACAGCCCCCCAAAGGTGCCCCCCAGGAAAGTGCAATGCTGAGGGGGTTCTGTGGCAGCCATGCAGGAGTTCCTTAGCAGAGAAATCGATACAGAAAAGGTTCCCTCAAAGTAGACCTTCGAACCCCCCCCTGCTCTAAATGATTTTTTTTCATTGACATTTCTATAGAATGTTCCTCTGCATCTTGTGCACTGCAAAAATACTAAATACTTTTGCTTAAGCAAGATGATAGAATTAACAATTTTTATTTTTTCTTTATGTAAACAATATCTTTGTTAATATTCTTACAAGAAAAGACACCTGGTTTTTTTAAAAAAATTACTTTTTTTTGAGGCAAGTGGTTCTTCTACCACAGACATGCCAAAAACAATAATTTTGGATAGTACTGGGGTAGGGAAGTTAATTTTAAGAGGTGACAACAAGTATCATTGTCTTTCCTTTGCTCCGTCATTCTTCGGCCTCTCTTCATTTATTGGCATCCCAGTTTGTACAGTTTATACATTATAAATTAACTGCAGCATCAACTGTTGTATGGAAAGTGTTTGACCAAAACAGCAGGTTGTCTAAAGGTGAGTGGAAAGGCTGTTGCTGTCAGAGGGCGCTTCTTGAACTTTTTGCACTTTCGGGCAGACAGTTATGATGGGGAAGCTGCCCCTTCCTCAAGATGTCAGCTGCTAAGTGAACACAATGGAGGGCTCGGTGAACTGGAAAACCTCTTCATCGTACAGCTCGTCAGACAGCTCTTCATCTCCATCAGCAAAATATGTGGGGAATGGCAGGTTCTTACTGTGGTCTCGGTAAGGACGTAAATTTGAATCAGTGACCTAGAAAACAAGAGCAAAAGGGGGCAATATATATATATTTTTTAAAAGGACAACAAAATCACTAAGCACAAAGTTGCAGCAAAACCAAGGAACCAACTGAGGTCACTTGGAATACTTCTTGCTTTAATTTTCAAATTTCTCTTAATCAGCAAAACTTAAGCTACAAACATTTTTATCAGCCCTTGCTTTCCTGTTTACTGAACAGTTCACGGGAAAGGTGTAGCAGTTTCTCCTGAAACACAGAAATTAGGAGAGTGTCGGTAGAGAGTAGTCAACATTGGTTTAATATTCAAGCATAAAATTGGTTTATTGTCTTTTTCCAAATTCTTCAAAGCAAGCTGAACAGTGTGATGCTGAAGCAATCAAAAGTTTAGTGTAACAACACTTGAAGGTGTTTTGTATATTACGGTGCATAATTTGAAACAAACATCTTTAAAGGCGAGACTAAGGCACAGAATGAACTAGACATCTTTTAAAGTATGTCCTCCTGCCTAATCCCAGGAATGCTTATTCAGAGGCAAGCACGGCTGGATTTACTGCCAAGTTAAATGTCCACTGAATTGTAGTCTGAAGTCAACATATTTTTTTTAAAAGGATGCAGCTAGGGCTGCAATTTAGAAGGCAAAATTAGAGTGGGAGAGGGTGTGAGAGAAAAGCCCTTTAAGAAGAAGAAGATAAGGTTTTTACATCCTGCATTTTGTTACCAAAAGGAGTGTCAAAACAGCTTACAATCTCCTTCACTTCCTCTCCCCCAACAGGCACCTTGTGAAGTAGGTGGGGCTGAGAGGGTTCTGAGAAAACTGAGACCGGCCCAAGGGCACCCAGCGGGCTTCAGGTGGAGAAGTGGGGAACCAGACCCAGTTCTCCAGATTACAGTCACTCTTAACCACCACACCACACCGGCTCTCTTTTAACCCTTTCCCATCAGGCTCTTACTGAACATTTGCCATACTATTTCTATATCCCATGGAAAACTTTGAAAAAACTTTGAAAAACAAACAAAACCTTGGCAAGTCCTGCCCTCAGAACAACCCCCACTTTTGTTGAAATGTGGCTCAAGTGGTTAAGACGCTGAACTGCAGGCTGTGGAAGGTCAGTAGTTCAGCAGTTCAAGACCCGGGCGCCGCAAGACGGGGTGAGCTCCTGTCTCTAGTTCCAGCTCCTGCCAACCTAGCAGTTCGAAAGCAAGAAATTGCAAGTAGATAAATAGGTACCACTTCGGTGGGAAGGGAACAGCGTTCCGTGCGCTTTGGTGTTTACTCATGCCGGCCCCATGACCACAGAAACGTCTTTGGACAGCGCTGGCTCTTCGGCTTTGAAACGGAGATGAGCACCGCAACCCTAGAGTCGGATTCGACTGGCTTTCGAGCAAGGGAACCTTTACCTTTACCTATTCCCATCCGAGGTAGCTCCTCCTCCTCTTTCCGCATACGCTGCATGACAGAAGGGTACCATGTTGGCTCCTTTGGACTCTTTGAGTCCCTAACTGTCCAGTCCTTCCAGCTGCTTTGAAGAGAATCACCCAGAACATCTGCAATAAGAACCTGGTGTGGGCACAAGTGGGCAGCCTATTGACCTTGCAGCCTTTGGGCCCTTCACAGCAAGACTCCGGTGCAACAACTGTCCTTCTTTCCTTCTTCCCAGACTAAGTATATTGGATATAACACAGAAATGAATAACTCTGAAAGGTCAGCTCAACTGCCTGGAAATTGTAACCCCCAAATACCACCAGGAGGAGAATCTAAGTGGTGCTTTGTCAGCACTTCGTATCATCAGGAGCTGGGGAGCAAGCAGGGTTTAATGGACTGCACAGGCATTTGTTGTCTTTGGTCCTAAATGTCACTGTAGCTAACAGTAAACGGTGTGCACACAGAGAGCGGCCAAACTGGGCCACCCACCGACAAGGCAGGGCTCTCTCCCTGCTTTGGGACATCACAGGCATGCAAAAAACATGGCTCTGTAAATTAGCCAAGAAGGAAATCCAGTCTGATGAGGTCTGCAAATGCTCCAGAAGGATGCTGAGAGCGACTAAGGGACAGTGAAGAGAAAAGGAGCGGAGGGAGGGAGAAGTGAGCATGCCCCCATTGAGAGAGTACTGGAGGAGGAGATTTAAGGGGATCGGGTGAGATTTCCAAATTGTTTCCATCTTCTGAAATTCCACCCCCTCCAATTTGGTTTTGATCATTTTTATTTCTCATTCTAGTCCACTTTAAGTAACCTGAGGAATGTACCATGCAGAACCCAAACACTGTTAAAAGAGGAGACACTTTTTCTAGGAGAGAAACACATGGGGCTTCCTGAACATCTGGACCCTGCAGCAGAGCCCGCCAAGGTGGTTATTTTCCCACACTCCAGAGGAAGGGGAGAGGGAAGGAGTAGAAGGGGATGCTGGCTGACAAGCTACCACATTGCCAGGTTCTTTCACACAACCTTCATCCGGGTTTAAAAATCAGATTTAGGGATTCGTCAGTTCCCCCCCCCCCAAAAAGCATCTTGTTCCAGTGAAACTGACTTCAACAAATGTGACTCCCCCCTCAAAGCACACCGTATCCGGGGGGGGGGGTGTGTTCATAAAAGCAGGCAGAAGACTTTGCATCTCTCTACCAGAAGGAAGACCTTAGCATCTCCGTCCTCTGCATTTGGCAAAAGTCAGGAACAACCTATGCGTTACATGGCCAACAGTGGGAGGGCTTCTAATGTCCTGGCCGCACTGGTGGACCTCCTGATGGCACTGGTATTTCTGGCCACTGTGTGATACAGAGCGTTGGGCTGGATGAGCCTTTGGCCTGATCCAACATTGGTGTCTCTTATGTTCTTATGTTCAACTCTGTCCCTGCAGCTGAGTGAACAACATGTGCAGCCCTAAGAATGCTTTTCTGGGAGTAAGCCCCACTGAGTAGTCTTGAGCAGGATGCAGACCAGCTTAAGATGTAAGCATTGCTTCCTGGCTGTGTAAATGGGGGAGTGTAACTTTAGGGCTTTTCAAAATGTAGTTTATGGTTGCAGCTGACTGGATATACCACAGATGAACTGGTGTTTATGGGGGAAAGTATAAGAAGAAAAGGAAATACAAGTCAGAAGATTCTGATAGTCCTGCAAACCAGCTCTGAAAGGAAGAGACTTACTGCAGATTCAGACATCAGAGGGCACAAACTGGCCAAAATGACTTGCCTAAACACTTGCCAGGATAAAAGGGATCTTAGACAGCAGATGAACCCGGAATCCTATTGAACTCTGTTCAATGGGGCTTACTCCCAGAGAAGTGTTTCAAGGATGGCACTGCAACCAACCTTCTAGAAGACAGCTGACCAGGCAGGCTTTTGCAAGGAAAGACTGCCTCAAAGGGGGGGGGGGGGCTACCATTACAGAAAGGACTGAGATCTTGTGGCGATCCACCCAGCCACCTTTAGCAGGGCACGCAAAGCAGGGCTTCACTTCATTCAGCCCTCTCTTCCAGTTCAGAAGCCCTTTTAGGAGCCTGCTAAGGTATCCTACAATAAAGTCTGTATAGCCTGCATGTCTCTGAGGAACAGATGCTTTAGCATATTTACCTGGGATTTAGTAATGGTTTTTGTCTGGTAAACTAATGCCCTGCCAATACCTAGAAAAACTAAAAAACACATACAATGCTGTGTGCTACTGTCAGCGTAGCTGCTGGTACGAACAATTCAGCAGAAAATAATCAGCGAGAACTGCTTGAACAGGTAGCAAGAACGATGCTTAGGAAGAGTGAAGTCACAGATCACTCAAAATAAGCTCAGAGAAGCTCCGGGCAGTATCTGGAAGTACAGCAGCAAGATCTGAGGCACTCACAAAGCTGGGCCATGTACTTGTGTCCAAGTGTGCACGTCTAGATCCCCCAAGCCCCTGAACAACAACAAAACAGTGTTCTGATATGAAGGGGCTATGGAGATGGAAATGTTCAATTTGCCTCTGCCAGGCTTCTTTGCTCTAAAAAGGGTTACAGCAGGGTATCAGGCAGCCTGCCAGAGTGGAGAATTTGGCTAAGGTGAGTCATGTGCCTCAGCCGCACGGTTTTCCAATCTGCTGCTTACATTAAAAGAACAACCTTGCAAGTTACATTTCTTTGTCTTAACAACACAGCAGACCTTTGAGGCTTAAAACATAAAAATGTAACCCCCGTGCACCAATTATGCCCTAAGGAAAGGCAACATTGGCTTGCGCCACGGCTTCCTGTCAAATTAGGTTATAACAGCCAGAGGCACTCCATAACAAAGCGCTGCGTTTCTAAAGGTGCATTTCCAATTTAATGGGCTCAGGTGGAACTCCCATGAGCACAGGCAGATGACAGATCTCACCCACAGTGGCAATGATAAGAATTAAAGGAAACAGAGCCACAGGGCAGGTGAAAGATGACACGAGAGCTCTTGATGTTTTTATTATGCTCAGCCTAGCTTCAGGAGTCCAGCCAGGAGTCAAAAGCACAGGCCAAATTAAAATCGTTCATCTGTCGATACCCAGAATGTATCCTAAGTGCAGAACTCAAGAGTCCACATTTCAGAACCCTGTTTTTTGGCAACAAGCGTACACTGCTTGGTTTCTCCAAGCTCTACTTTGATGTCACGCACCATAACATGAGCTCACAAGTCCTTTACGGAACACAGAGCTAAAACACTGGAAATGTTACTTAAAAAAAAAATCATTAAAACAAGCATCTCTCTCTTTTTTTAAGTGTAACAAGCTGTTTTTTCTGCTGAACAGAAAATGGGAAGGGTTGCACAGGAAGAGCACAAAACACTGCACTGATTAAGCCAGGGACACACCAATGCTCAATTATAAGACTTGGCATGTTTAGGATTTCAGAAAGGACTTAAAGCCATTAATTTAAACCATTTCAAGTCTACTGGGAAAAATGTTTTCTCTAAATGTGCATCTGCCAAGGTGCACAGTGGCTTAATGGTTGCCAAGCAACAAACTTAAGAGGGTATCAATGCACTGGAGCTGTGCTTTTTATGCACTCCAGACATCAGCAACAAAACATTCCACACTTTTTTCCTTTACTGTTTTAGTTATATCAAGATTTTTGTAGCTGACTGAAACAGGCTGTTCTTGAACAACAACCAACAACGAAAAGTAATCCCTGAAAAAGGCCCAGAGCATTTACACATCAGAACTCCACACACTTCTGCAGTTAGCACATCACTGACTCCCATACTAGGGAAGAATGATCAGTGCAAAACTGAGCCGATAAACCAACAATGTTCTAGGCACGGTTCAAGATAATTGGGTTTGGTCACTGCAAACCTCAAACAGCCTTGCCCAATGTAACTTGGGAATGGCTTTTCTCATTTGACCCTCACCCGTAGGAAATGAAATTGGAGACTGTGTGAAGGCAGGACCTACTCTGTGGGGGCACCACAATCGCTTCCTCCCCAGAAAGATCCTTTGACCCATGAAGATGCTTTTATTTCCACAAGCTTTCAGATAAGGCTTAACTCTGATAACAGATGCTATTATTTGTCTATTCTCGTTTCACGCTACAGGTATTTCAAATGTGTTTTGCATTGCCCACTGCCTTTTTATAGTTTCCTATGACCTGCAGCAGGGCAGAAAGGAAGGAAAGAAATGCAACATAAAAAAGGGCATGTCAGATACACCGCACTGGCCGCACAGTAACATTCTATCCCCTACAATACTACCTCCACCGTGAACGCAGTGCTGTGAGGTTTAAAGCAACCTTTTAGGTCCAGCTACATATGTCGAAGCTGTAGGCACAGAACTCTGAAACATCTTCTCAACTCAAAGCGTTTCCACCTGAGTGATACAGGCTAACGTATTAGAATCATTTGGTGACAGAAAAACATGTGCTGAACCATGTCCCCTGCAGGTGAATTCAAGTAAATGCTGTGAAATGTTTTGATTGGAGGGAGTGCTTAACACCAAAGTACTGCAGAACTGCAGAGGCATAACATATTACCAGCCATGATAAAATCCGTGTTATCCTTACAGCTTTTAGCGCTGGCACACGACAGAACACCAAGAATGCCTCCTGAAGGCAAGATGTTCACAGTTGGCTGGGGGTGTCTGTAAGGAATATTAATGTCAAGGGTACTGGCTTGAGAACTAAGGAGTCTGGAGAGGAGGCAGGATTGGTGAAGGGGGAAAGCTGGAGCGTAAATGTGAATCGGAGTCAAGTCAGAAGGCTCGAGCTAAGAAAGACTGAAGCCAATACTGATTTCATTGCTTTTTAACACAGCACAAAGGGTGTGTGTGTGCTATGACACCTTCAAGGCTAACAGATTAACTGTAACGTGAGCTTGCATGGGCTGCAGACTCATTTCCCCAGCGCCTTCACTTACTGGAGACTGAAAGAGAGCCAGTGAGTAGGCTTAGAGAGTGCGTGGATCTCACAGAGGGGAATGGCCACAATAAGGAAACTCATCTCACTCTGAATGCTTTTACTCATCCTGTTGGTCATCCGACACGAAAGCTGCACGAAAAGGTGGCTTCGCTAGCCAAGGTTTATGGCACTAGCCGAAGGAAGGTTGCCCTGTGGCGAGAGGCTGAAAACATACCAGTCAGGAAAGGCACTCCGACAGCCTGCCAGGGTGTCTAATCTTTCACCACCCCCTCAGCTGCTGGAGGCCTCTGCTCCGGCTACATGATCACTCTACGGACGATGTCGTTTCTAAGAGCCCTAGTTTATGAGGAAATTTGTAGAGTTGCCTCTTCTCATCGCTCATTCTTCTTCTCTCTCTCCTCCTAGGAGCGTATGCATATGGGACTCACCCAAGCCTTCTGAAATCCTTTAAAAACTGTTTCCCAAAACCAGATTTGTAAGAGGAACAAATGCCCATACTGACCCTCCTTTCTGAGTGCTTTAGGTCAGGTTAGGGAAAGTGGAATGATGGGGGCAGGGGGAAGACGACAGGGCAAGCTTTGGGTCCCACTGGTGTCGGCTATAAGAGTTGGATATCTGGCAGAGTAAATGAAACTTAGCGGAATAATGCAGCACAGACAGGTGTGTGTTTAACGTCTAAGAAAACAAGTTTACTTCAAAATTAGGGAAAGGATTACATGGAAAGAAAACAACAGTCTACCTAACTCATATTTCGAGTTCTGATAAGAACATAAGAGACTCCAATGTTGGATCAGGCCAAAGGCCCATCCAGTCCAACACTCTGTCACACAGTGGCCAAAAATACCAGGTGCCATCAGGAGGTCCACCAGTGGGGCCAGGACATCAGAAGCCCTCCCACTGTTGACCCCCCCCCCCAAGCACCAAAAAGACAGAGAATCACTTGCCCCAGAGCCCCTATCTATACCTTGTGGCTCATGAGGAGGCCTCCCTCCATCTTAAAATGACCCAATCAGCTAGAAGAGCAAACCCCTGCCACATCCCACCTTCCACTCCCTATAACTCCTGTCTCTGCTCAACCTGCTTCCGTCTCTCGTACTTGGGGGGTTTGCCCCTGAACCCCACGTGGGGCATTTCTTCCACAAAACCATGTTTAAGTACTCTAGAAAATACTGAATGTAAATTGTACCTCTGACTGCCACAATGGAAAGGTCACTATCCAAAGAATGGCAATATAAATTCATAAGGAAGAAGCAGCCAGTCCTAATGCTCAATGTCATTGTGAATTTGCTTACCAAAACTCTGTTCACAGTGCCTGAGCATACAGATTGGACTTTGGAGATATCCTCCCAGGTTGTGTACATGCCTATGTCTACGCACTTATTTGCATCCTCTACACATCCCTGACCTGGACGGCCCAGGCTAGGTCAATTTCATCAAAGCGTGGAAGCGAATAGGATTGGCTTTGGTTAGTATTTGGGTGGGAGACCTCCGAGGAAGTCCAGGTTCATTATGCAGAGGCAGGCAATGGCAAACCATCTCTGAATGTCTTTGGCCTTGAAAACCCCAAGGGCCCACCATAAGTAAACTGTGACTTGACAGCCTTTCCGGCACCACCATATACAAAAATGGAATGGCCAAATAAAAGGGATTTCATCCCTGGATTATACCAGTGGCCTTGTGGGTGGTGGCACAGGAGCACAAGCTCCCGTGGCCAGCCACGTTTCTAACATGCATGCTAGGTCTGGTATTAATCATACCAATTCATCAGAATGTGGACATTCAGGGGAAAAGTTATTCCTCACTGATAGCACTGAAAGAGATAGGGTTATCAGCCCTTCCTCTAGTGCTGTTTATGTCTTTTAATTGAATTATTTTACAATGTTAACTGTATTTTTAATCGTTTAAATGTTTTAATTTTCGTTATAACCGTTGCCTCGTGAACCCTGATTGGGTGGAAATGTGGAGCAAAAATGTTTAAAATCAATAAATAAATATGGCAATAAGCTGACTAGTTTCTATGGCACAGAAAGGGGTGCCCATGACAAGCAGGCTGCAAACATTTCCTTCTGCATACTCACCCAGTACACAATGCTTGGGGGTTAAACCCAATGGCAAGAAACGTTAAAGAGCATACGGAAGTACTCCTGGTCTCTAGGGTGCTGCTGGACTCAAATCGAAGATCATGCAAAACACATTCACGGAATGGCACTGTGCAAACACAATATCAAATAGCTCAAAAGTGAAACTTACCTTTGCCAAACAATTTGTGTGACCTGGGACAGTACCATGGACATATAAGATGTTGTGCTTCACATTGACCCGCCAGATCTGTAAGATTAAAATGTTCACACTGAAACCCAAGCATTACATTAGGGTTTTGTAAGCTGCTCAGTTTGCCAACTATAACCCCCAAAGGGTGGTGAAGACAACACCACGTGGTGGGAAAGTCACATGGGGGGGGAAGTCAAGATATGAATCTAAAAGAAAATGAGGCTATGAAGCAACAAAAAAATACAGAAAATTATTCCTCCGTTTGACAGGGAGATTGGTCTGCAGTGGGCATCAGAAACAACTTGCACGGTGGGACACAGGGAGAATTCTCCCTCCTTACACGGAATACCCCTGAAGGAGATGTGGCATCTTCACGAAAGGGCACCAAGAGGAGGTGAAGGAGACACGGGGCCACGGCGGCAGCACCGCACAGGAGCACAACTACACAACAGTTAGCAGAAGGCGGCAGTGCCTTCTTCCTCATTCAGCAGTGCTTCATGGTGGGAGTGGGAATTCTCCCTGCACTCCATCGCGTGAGGCACTGTGTGGGGAAGGGGGGGGGAACTGAAGTACCCCCATTTTATTAAATCTATTTATCAGTCACTTTGCAACTTCAAGAGTTCTCAAAATAGCTTACAATATGGGGGAAAATGTATTAATTAGTGTCGGGAGGGCGCTCTCACCCCCCTCCCGCCTATGCAGGAGAGTACCCCCATTACTCACGGGGAGACAAGGGGATCGGGCCCCGACCGTTCCCGGGAGGGCCGGGAGTACTGGCAAGCAACCCCCCAAGGGGAGATGGGGCCGCAAAAGGGGGACGGACGGGGACGTGGGAGTGATTGGGCCCGTTGACAATATTATGACCGAGGAGAAACGGGGTGGGAAATCAAGGGCTTCTGAGAATACACCGGACGGCCCCGTTTGTTGGTGGAGTCACTTTAAGAGTTGGGTGGTGGGTTCACGGAATGATGTAAAGGAAGTAAATAAAATGGCCATCAGGTGTACCCAGGGAGGAGGAGAGTGTGGAAGCTGTGAGAGAGACGGAGAGGAGTGAAGTAACTCGCACTCGTCTAGTAGCCCACATGGCTGAAAGAGAGGAGGTTGAACCTCTCAAACAGCATCTCTGAGGGGAACCTGGCCTCCAGAACTTCCTGACCATCACACTGGAGTCAGCCCACGACCCAAACCTTCCCTCGAGTCCGCGGAAAGGTGACAATTAATTAAATGTACTTGTGGAATGGCTGACCGTGAAGAGGTCAGGAAGGTCCTGCCCTCCTGGCTCCTCAGGGAGGTGGGAGCATCCAGAGAAGCCACTAGCGGTCACCTCAGCACCCTAATGGATTGATGCTTGTGATCAATGGAAGGCAATTATGTGCTACAAAGCTACAATATCAAGTCTCAGAAAATTCTATACATAGCCTTCTACCTTTAGCGCCCGTGCTGTCCTGTAGTAGTTGCCCATCTGTCCCGGCATTTTCTTTCCCTTGGGGACCCGTCCAAGCCCCTATCTCAAAAAAACAAAACAAACAAACAAAAAAACACCCTAAGAGTTAGTAACGTACCATAGAAGTGCTCCTGTAGGGAACATTCACAGAGACAAAAAGAGGTAGTTAAATCAACGCTAAGCCAAACATTGTGTTACAGTTTCACAGCAAAAAGTAATTAATGACACTGAACACTCCCGAAAATTCAGCTGAATTTGGAGGGACTACTTCATGGGAAAACTACTAATCAGAGTACTACTAATGTGACCTTTCTCTCCATTGCATCCCACCCCCACCAGAATCCCACCCTACTTGAAGAGGTCAGGAAGCCTCCCGGTGTTTCTATAAATACAGTTCCAGACTAGGGTAGCCATGTTGGCCTGTGGTAGAATCCAGTCAAGCAGCACCTTAGGAACCAACAAGATTTTCGGGGTACGAACTTTCAAGAGTCAAAGACAAAGGGAGCTTGGCCTCTTGAAAGCTCATATTCCTAAAATCACGCTGTTCTCAAAGGTCCTATTTGGCTTGATTCTACACTTTTCTACAGTTTTACAAAATGTGCACAACAGAACTGTTCAGGAAGTCAGGACGTCAGTTGTAGGAAAACTGAACTCTGCAGGAAAGGTGCTTTCTTCTTAGGGCATAAGGTTTTAATTTAATTGCCTGCGAAATTTCTAGGTGGCTTCCCCCTCCCTCCTTTATCTTGCCTTGTTTACTGTATGTATTATGCCATTTCAGCGTTCTCCCTAATTGTAGCATATTCATAGGTGGCATCAAGCAGAAATTTTCTGCCAACAGAAGAATCTCTGGATTCTAGCCTCATGGTGCAGACTCCTGACCCCATCCCCCCGTGCTGTGCTGGGCGGGAGGTCCCCTGTCCCGCAGGTGGAGAAGCGTTTTGGAGCTGCAGAAGGGAAAGAAGAAGTCTTGTTCTGTTGATGAAAATCCCTTCTGCTAGCTCAGATTTTCTGAAAAATCCAAGCCATTATAGATCCCTGATTGAACTTTCACACAGTTGTATTTCATTGCCTCTTCCCAACCACACGACTGGCAATACTGAAAGTTCAAGATATGTTTGTGAAGGCTGACTGTTGCCAAAGACCATGCACACGGCCCTCTAAGCTGCCCTACCCAAAGGCTTTTGTAGAGCAAAACCAAGCATCAAATCTTTATGCAGCCTTGAACACATGAAGCTGCCTTATCCTGACTTAGACTATTGCCCTGTCAAGCTCAGCTTTGTCAGCTGTGCAGGGTTTCAAGCAGAAAGTCTTTCACATCACCGATTACTTGATACCTTTAAACTAGAGATGCCAGGGTTTGAACCTGGGACCTTCTGCGTTCAAAACTGATGCTCTACCACTGAGCCACAGCCTCGCCCCTTAATGGGTTTAATTTTAGCTTGCATGGAATCAACGAGCGAGCCAAGCCCATGTTAGGCATTTGCAGTCAATGTGCGATACACTTGAAATTAAATGTGTCAGGTTGACAAATGGCCGAGTATTACAGGGATCCTGCTGCTTCAGCCACCTTAACTACAATTGCTCTTTGGCTTTTTGCTCTAGCTAAGAACAGGGTATGAAACTGGCAGGACTCTAGATTTAATTCCAAGTAAAATTAAGAGAGACTACTCTTGTGTTCACCTATTAAGCAAGCTGCCCGTGACCAGGAAAAAACCCAGCTTGAACAAAACAACAACCAGCACTTAACCAAGAGCTTGATAGTCTAATGGACTTAAGACAAAGTGCATGAAGTCAGGAAGTAATAACTTTAAAATAAATTTATTTAGTACATTTTTATCCTTTCTCTTAAGATCAGGGCTGTATACGTGCCCCCCCCCCCTCCAGCTTATCCTTACTCCACCACAGTTAGGTGGGCTGAGAGAATATCTAGCCTACTGTCACCAAGTAATGTTCATGGCAAGAGGGAATTTGAACCCAGATCTCCCTGGTTCTAGATCAACACTCTCAATTATTACATTAGACTGGCTCTCTGGGGTGGCAAAACAGGTTTGGCAAGAGCCTCATTCTACTACAAGGGATGTGGAATTTACTCAACTGGCCCAGGTCCCAGGCTGTCCGACTCGAACGAATGCAGTGTGCTTACAGCTATTGTCATGCACAACAGAATAAAAGTCACTCTAGCAGTGAAAAACAACTCTTGAACTAAATTTTCAAGGTTTGCCACCCTTTTGGTATAGAAAACATATAGATTTGCACAGTAAGACTTTTCACTGAATTCTTAAGGAAGCCATGCAAAAATGACATCACTGCCCCTACGTGCAGAGCTCATAGAGTCAAAGGGGGGAGATCCCCAAAAGGGCTTTAATGCCCTCTTCAGTCTTTGCTTATGCTGAGACTCCTTAGTACATCTTCCCCTATTGGCATCTAGATCCACACTCGATGCTTGCAGTACCAAAAATGATGCATAGCATTTACAATGTTTAGGGAGATTTGGCTATAAGTAGTAGCTGAGGTATTCTTTTAATCACAATGTCATATGGTTAGATTTTTTCCCCCTTAGCATAAATGATAACTCTCAGAATTTAAATTGTTGTTATAGCTAGAGTAATAGTTACATTATATCTACCCATACTTTATTTTTATTTCATAAATTTATTAGTCACCTTTCTTCCTTGCAGAGCTCAAGCTCAAACATAGATAAAAACACATCGAATAGAATACATTAAAAACACAAAACCAAAATTTAAAATCACTACTTAGGACTGCTACTAAACTTATCCAAGTGCAGTCCTAAATAAAACTGTCTTCAACTTTCTCCTAAAGATCGAAAGTGAAATACATGGGAAAACGCAGAATATATTAAAATCCAGATTTCCTATGGAAGCTAAGAATATGTGACGAGGAATATTGCCCAACAAATTACCAAAAGTTTTGAAATAAATATTTAAATATATGGTGACAGCAGCTAGAATTATTTATGCAGCAAAATGGAGATCAGAGGTCTGTCCAAGTTTAGAAGAATGGGTAAACAAGCTTGCTGATTATGCAGTAATGGAGAAATTAACAACTTATTTGAGAAACAGATCCGTCTCGAAATCTGGGAGATGAAGTGTCAACAGTTTAAAAATGCTCTATAAATGCACTATAAGGCATTCAAATGTAGTATAATGCAGAAAAAAGGAGGATAAGTTTTGAATATAAATGTACAATGAAGTGGATTTTGAAGAAAATATTTCTTATTTTTTATTGCGAGATAGATAATAGATTCTCCTTCAAACTTTGGTATATTAAAAGTTATATCTAATGTATAGTATTGATGAAATATGTAACACAGAATATGTTATTGATGAAACTATCATAGAAAATGTTTTAAAAATTCTAATGAAGGGGATGTAAAGGAGAAGTATTTCTTTACTTCCTTGTTTAATAATATATCCTGTAAGTATAATAACCTTTTATAAATATACATTGTTTCATAACCCCTATATAACCCCTTTCTTTCCATCTGTACTCATTATTTAAGAAATAGAAAGTGAAGGGGCCAGGTGCACCTCCCTGGGCAGGCTGGTCCATAATCGTGGGGCTGCCACTGAAAAGGCCCCCTCTCATGTATCCACCAAATAAGTGTCTCTGACTGATGGGGCAGTCAGGAGGGCCTCTAATTGTTATCTTAAATCCCATGAAGGAACATATGGGAGAAGGCAGTCCTTCAGATACACTGGTCTCATGCCACGTAGGGCTTTCAAATTCACAACCAAAGCCTTGAACTGGGCTTGGGAGTAGATTGGTAGTCAGTGTAATTGCTGTTACATCGGGGTCATGTGCTCCTGACAGTTGGCTCCAACCAGCAGTCCAGCCACAGCATTTTGCACTACTTTATATCTAAGATCCATTTGGGACACATTATTTTATAAATTAAACTTCTTGATCTAGAGTGTGTAGGTACAGCCGACGGAACATACTTTGATCATGTACCCTTCATGCACCTACAAGTATAACACTTCAGAACACTCACGCTATTGGAAATTGCTCCAGGTCGTCTGTGTGTTTTGGTCTGGCCATGGCTGGCCGGCTGGCCTTTAAATCCCCATCTTTTCATGACTCCTTGAAAGCCTTTACCAATTCTGAAAGTAAACAAAGCCAAACTAAATCAATTTTGAAGTATAAATCTATAGAAAAATATATTTTTGCAACAGCACATGGTCACTCTGAACAGGATGCTAATTTAGCAAACAGCCTCTTTGTAATTCGCTATATAAACCACATTAAAATGTGTATAAACAGCAGGGCCTTCTATGTGGTTGCACCTTCCATATGAAATGCCTTGTCTGGTGAGAGCTACATCCTTCACTTCTGCCCATCTTCCCCCCCCCCCTTCCCTTGGCAAGGTATATGAGGTAGACTAAGAAGGGACACAAATATTTTCAGTGGAACTAGGGGAGGATTAGAAAGGCTTGGGATGGGGGGGATCTATACTTTTGTGGAACCAGCACTTCCTTGGAAAGACAAACCTCACAGAGTAATAACTATGGCAAGGAAGCACTAAAGATACCTCAAACACATCTCATATGTGTTGTATGAATTACAAATTACGTGAACTAAACAGGAATTAGTACAATTGATTCTGATTATTAGCTACTTAACCATCCTACTTAACCATCCAGATTTTACCATCACACTTCATTTCATTGTGTATACACTTCATTGTGTATACTTAAAATGGCTGCATTTTAAAAGGCTTCACTGATTTAGTGAAAGAAAAGCCTCTGAACACAATGGCTGAAACCAATATGATCCAGTGCGGTGAACATAAAAATGGGCAGTTCTGTATTAATTCTGCTGGCGGGCCAATACTCATAATGCTAATGTAGTGAAAAAGGCATTTGATTCCAGGAATTCTTCAAAATAATCTGTTGGAAGGTTTCTATAGGCTGCTACTAAAGTGTTGAGCAGGAAGCTGAAACTAGAAGTGTTTCCACATTAATCATGGAATGCTGACCGCACAGTCGAGATCAGGACATTATAAATGCTTTACAACAAAGCAGAATCTGCAGGAAAGGAGGAGGGAGAACCTCCATCCACAATTCATGATCTGAAGGAACCAAACTTCAGAGAAAATAGCTCTGCCAACTTTAATCAAGCAGCATAATCCCAGGTGTCAGAGGACTAAGTGTCCACTTCAACATTTCATCTAGATGGCCCCCCTTTTTTAAAAAAGAAGAAGTGAATTATCCACATAACCATAAATAGTGCTTTTCAGAGGATAAAAATCGAAAAGCAATTTCATCACAACATATTGTACACATATAAGAGGCATCACTCCGGGAACAATCTCTCTTCCTGTTTCTGCTTCCAAGTTTTAACAAGCCCCAAGTATGCTACCAAAAAAGTTTCCACCAACATTTAATTGGCTAGAGATTGCCACCTAAGACCGCCATGCATAAACCCTGTCACCCCTAAGAACACATTTTAATGCCATCAATTCTCACCCAGCGGCGGGACACTTTCAGAGGTGCCATATACTACGTGTCGGGCCTTTCCAGACTATACTTTCCTCCTACACCTTACAGCACACTCACAGGTGTCCAGGGAGATTTCAGATCTGAGGTGTCTGTGCTTCCCCTCACCATTGCAAAAAGGTAACGCCCGCACGGAGTCATCCTGCACTGAATGAACACAGGACCCTGTCCTGACTCGTCACACGGAATTCGAAATCCATTTTACCTCTCTATTTATCTGGCGCTATTGTTGTTGGTTTTCTGTCACTTGCCCAGTATCTGGTTTTCATCAATGGGCACACATACCGAACGTTTTTGGGGAGCACTTGTCAACTTGTGTCTTATTGTGCCATCTTGTGAGTTGTATTAGCTGACGTTGTATAGGTTTTAATATTGCGTAGATCAGGGCTTTTTTTGTAGGAAAACCCCAGCAAGAACTCATTAGCATAATAGGCCACTCCCAACAGCAGAAACTATTAGCATATTAGGCCACACCCCTGACAGCAAAGCTCATTAGCATATTAGGCCACACCCCACATGTTACCAGAATTGTGGTCATCCAACCACACCCACCTTTTGCTTCTTATTCCGTTTACTTTGTTGTCAAAACCCTGGGCTTTTTTTCTAGCAGGAAATTTGTTGGCAAATGTGCTTAAAACTGTATTTAATTTGTATTGTGTTGATGTATGTGTGCATGGAATGTACTTGCATTTGTGTATGGGTTTGGGAAATCTGTGTGCTTTGAGTCTGCCTTCATTTGGAAGCTGCTATGCCAGTGTGCTGCCTGCATTGGTATGCTAATGAAGACACACACACACCTACCCATCCTGCCTTTGGAAGAAGAAGCATTCTCCATTACGCTCAGCCAAGAGGACCCTCTGAAACAACAGGTCTTCCACCATGAAGGAATTTCTGGTCAACACGTAACCCTGATATCTGGTTTGCATCTCAAGAGAGCTCTTCCTGTTTACAGCCTGAGAGCCAGCTAGAGCATCTACACTTCAAAGGTTTCCGGGGTACCAGCAGTTTCACACCTTGACCAGATGCTTCCATTGAGTTAGAGGGTAGAATTTAAATATTGCCCACTCCCAGTAGGTAGATACGTCACATCCCAATAGCCAATAGGTATAGGGAATGGGACGGACTACAGATATGAGGTTGGCACAGATGCCAACCCCCAAACTAGGTGATAAAAGGCAAGGAGCAACCTTTGTTCCACGCTAGCCATCTTTACCCCACCTTTGCAACTTAAGCTCTACGCTAGCCATCTTTAAGCTAGCTAGCCATCTTTACCCCAACTAGGCAACTCAAGTTCTACTACAGGTAATTCTTGCGTGCTCTCTTGGATGGCCACCAAGAAGCCCACACGTGTTGGCTGGTTCCATCCGTGTGAAGTAGAATCCCTTTTGCTAGATCTTTTGTTCCCCCATTCTTCATTGAGAAGTTCAAACTCCCTTCTGGATCAGATAAGTATAACCGTTACCCTTTTCTGTGTTTACCTCCAATTAGTTAAAGGTTATTATTTTACATACTGATTGCTTTCCATTTCTATTGTATCTAAAGGAACTTGTGAGTGTGTGTGAGCAAATCTGTTTTTGTATGCTTGTGAATTCAACTATTATTCAGTAAAGAGAACAACTGATTTTATAAACATCCAGTCGTGTTGTCTCTTCTATGGGGAAAAAGGAGTCTCTGTTCTGATTCTGCTCTCTGTATACACTGGTGCAAAGAACCCACAAGCCCCTGTCGTACATAAAACAGATTTAGGCTAAAGGATTAATCTCCTAACGGGGATTTCTCCTAACAACTCCTTTGCATGTTAGGCCACACACCCCTAATGTAGCCAATCCTAATGAGTTTCTGCTGTTGGGTGTGGCCTATTATGCTAATGAGTTCCTGCTGGGCGTGGCCAACTCAGGAGCCAGCCGGAACTCCGTTCCTGTGTGTTCCTGCCCAAAAATAGCCCTGGCATAGATCATGTTTTAATTATTTTACATTTGTTGTATATATCTACTGTTGTAGGGGGGCTGCGGTGGCTCAAGTGGTTAAGACGCTGAACTGCAGGTGGTGGAAGGTCAGTAGTTCAGCAGTTCTAGACTCGGGTGCCGCAAGACAGAGTGAGCTCCTGTCTCTAGTTCCAGCTCCTGCCAACCTAGCAGTTCGATAGCAAGAAATTGCAAGTAGATAAATAGGTACCACTTCGGTGGGAAGGTAACAGCGTTCCGTGCGCCTTGGTGTTTAGTCGTGCCGGTCACATGACCACGGAAACGTCTTCAGACAGCGCTGGCTCTTCGGCTTTGAAACGGAGATGAGCACCGCAACCCTAGAGTCGGATTCGACTGGCTTTCGAGCAAGGGAACCTTTACCTTTACTTTACTGTTGTAACCCGCCCTGAGCACTGTGGTGCAGGGAAGGGCAGGCTAGAAATGTAATTAAATAAATTTAAAAAATTAAAATGAACCCATGCTGGGCCACAAAGGACATTCTACCTCAAGCTACCTTTGTGAACTCCAATATAGGTATTAAAAAAAACCCCAGACCTTTTCACCTTTACTAGTAAAGTTAGGGAACTGCAGGGTTTCTTTAACTTAAAGATTATAATACTACCTACAGGAAAGCCAGAGCATAAAAGTAATTAAACTATCAGTAACTGTCTTCTCTCCCACCAATGTTCAGTTACACAAATATTACAAAAGGCTATGGCAGAGAGGGGGAAGGAAGCAGATGGAAGAGATCAGGGTGATGAGGGAATGGATGGGACAAAATGCAGTCACGCTACACGAAGGCGCAGTTCTCACTGAGGTGGTGCACCCACGGCTGGGAAACACCGTGTCAGATCTGGCCTGTGTAAACAAATAATCCTTCAGACAAAAAATAAACAATCAAATAAATAAATAATCCCCTCACCTTGAAAGCCAGAGAAAACACTAGCTTAGCCTTGCCTAGCCTTCATCTCCACAAGCTTCACACAGAAATTTCGAAGAAGCATTCAGTCACAGGCACACCTTGCCTGAAGGTACAGACTAGACAAGAGTTTAGCACCTCAGTGGGAACCAGGCCAGACAATCAAGCTGTGTTAAATGGAGCAGGGGGGTCTAAGGAGTTTAAAGCCAAAGCTTCTGCAGAACAGAACTGAAGAGAGCAATGAAGGAGAAGAAACGACAGACATGAAAGGAAAATGGATGGAGAGACATTCCGCCTTTGTAGGATACCACAGCTATTTTTATTACCATTGATTTTTATTTTATTTTTTTGGCCGCCAACTTGCAGACAACGTTTGGCGACCCCATAGGGTTTTCAAGGCAAGAGACGTGTAGAAGTGGTTTGCCACTGTCTGCCTCTGTGTAAGGAGCCTAGACTTCCTTGGGGGGTCTCCCATCTAAATACTAATCAGGGTGAACCCTGCTTAGCTTCCACGATCTGATGAGATCAGGCTGGCTAGCCGACACACATACAGATCAGCAAACAGGGCAGGATGGAAAGGGTTCTTCACGTACAGCCAGACACTCAGCCAGAGTTTGGCTTTTGCTTTAGCAGGCAGTACAACGGAAGGGACACAGTCCTGTTAAAACTGAATGAGGATGGCTTTTCTGTTGAGCAATGGAAAGTGTTTCTCTGAACCATGAAAACAAAGCTGCTTCCGTGCCCAGTTCTTCTCCACATGCACCTATCCTCTTCTTTAGATATCCGCTAATACCTTTAATCTGAATTCAGAATTGTAACAGTTTCTACATCCAGTGGAAGTTCTATTAATATTTAAAGCATCCAATCAAAAATTGCTATTAATGGGTGTACCCACAGAAGTTCTCTACCAAAATGGTAAAAAATAGTGAGAAAGGAAGAAGAAAAAGAAGAGGAGGAGGAGGAGGAGATTGGATTTATACCCCACCCTTCACTCGGAGTCTCCCTTCCCTTTCCCTCCCCACAACAGATACCCTGTCAGGTAGGTGGGGCTGAGAGAGCTCTGACAGAAACTGCTCTTTTTCAAGGACAGCTCTTATCAGAACTACAGCTTGCCCAAGGTCATCCAGCAGGTACAAGTGGAGGAGTGGGGAATCAAACCCGGTTCTCCCAGATTAGAGTCCGCGGTTCTAACCACTACACCAAACTGGCTCTCATGACTTCATTAACAAAATACCGATAAGCGAAGAAATATTTTAGACCACTTTTGAGTGTCTGTATTACAAGCACTACTCACGGATGAAGGAAAATATAAATTAAAATCACAGTTTTTGAGAGTGTGCATCTCAAAAACAATCACCTTATGTACCAAAAAGATATGACAAATACCATCATTTTGTGGCTAAAACCTTCCAATATATATTTAGTATGCTGTGGTATAATGCAACCTACGTTTTTGCAGTGACGTCCACATATTGCCCAGGGCGGAAATGAGCAGCATACAGTGGAGTACCTTAAAAAAGTGGGAGAAACAAGAGTTTAAGCTGATGAATAGTTGTGCTGCAAATTAATTAGTATCACCACACAGGTTTTAATCCTGTGAATGCAAAGTCATTTAAATCAAGTCCACTGTTGCAAAATTACTGCAAAACATTATCTTCCATTAGACATGCATGTTAGATTTAATCAGTTTAAAGAAAGCACGGCTGCTGATTCAGAGGTGGCAAGAAAGGACGTGAAAGTTGCTGTATAAAGTCCTTTCAATGGCACGATGAAAAAAGTTTGAAATAAATTCAAGAGCAGCTGTTGTAAAGCTCTCTGAGCAGACGATCAACTTCCAGGATTGCAAAGAAAAAGAACAGCCAAATCTAAAGCCCAAATTGTCTTCCAGCTCATCTTCAGTGGCCTTTTCTCCTTTCATTCTTTCTCTCCAGAAAGAACAATTTTTGCTCTTTTTTGCTTTTAATTGCTGGATATTAAATTTATTAGCACACTTTTGCACATGACAAGACTGCATTAAAAGCTCAAATATTTTAGACTGCAGACACATCAGCTCACAAGGAACGATAACATGGCCCTACTGTATTCTTCAAACGCATAAAAAGCAATTAATAAAGGAAAAGAAATGCCTTAGGAAATTATACTCGATGGAGACTTTCTGAAAAGTGTGCTGCTAGTATGAAACTGACCTAGTCAGGCAATTTCTATTTAAAATCTTTGTTTTCATGTTTATTGAGATGGGAAGTGCACGTTCTTGTTGGACAAGGAATAGGGGAGGGTGACAAGTTAATGTGCAATTTTCAAACTGCGGGAGAGGATCCACCCACCCACCCTATGAAGCTGCCTCATACCAAGCTCGGCCACTGGTCTACTGAGGTCAGCACAGTCTACTGTGTCCAGCAGCAGCTCTCCAGGGTCTCAGCCAGAGGTCTTTCACATTACTTGAGCCTTTTAACTGGAGATGCCAGGGACTGATCCTGCGGCCTTTCGCATGCAGAACAGATGTTCTAACACTGAGCCACGCTCCCACACCTGTATTAGGATGAATCGTAATACAGAAATCACAGGCATTTCTTTTAGTTTCATGCCGTCTCAGTATATAGCTGCAATTTGGCAGTTTGTTAAATAATAATAACAAAAAGAAAAACCCACCTCACCTCAAAGGGGAAGAGAACTTTAAAAACATAAAACAGCAGGCATGTGAAGCAACAACTTCAATTTTACCCTCCCGTGGAAAATGAGCAGTCTTTAATTCTGACCTTTTACCTATACAAGAATTTCGCTCTTCCATCATGAGATATTACACATCAGCATACTTTTATACCTCAGCACAATGGTGCTGATTTACAAAGGAGAGAACATTATGCAAAATTATATTCAGGGTCCTCCACTTCCAAAAGATTACCTGGCTTAATGATAGCATTCTCTGACACGTTAAATGATGTTATTTTCTGTTTTGGAGGAAGGCCAAGTTCTCTGTACATCTCCAGTCGAGACTGACCTTTCTAAAAGAGACACCAGCCACAAGAAAAAAAACGGGTGAAATATTAGCAATTCAATCCATTAAAAATGCTTAAATACACTTTAAACAGAAAAAGAAATCACTTTGTAGAATAATTAGTGCCCTTGTTGCAGAAAATCTGGTTCAATTTCCATTCAATCAATTCTTTTCTGATAGCTCAAGATGGGCACCCACGTTAGTCTGTCTGTAGCAGTAGAAAAGAGCAAGAAGTGAGTAGTGACTCACAAAACTCATACACTGCCACAGATTTTGTTAATCTGTAAGGTGCTACTGGACTCTAGTTCTTCTCTATATGCAAATACATTGTTTCATCATCACTTAGGGCATACTTACACTACAGAGTTACAGTACTATAGTAATAATTTCCTTTCTCCAGGGGATCGTGGGAATAGCTGTTCTGTGTAAGGGACAATGAATTCTTAGCATCTTAACACCTACCCTGTTCTTAAGATGCTTTGCACACTGTTTTCAAGATGTATGCATGCTGGTACAAAATAAACAAAAAAGTGTAGTGAAATTTCTGCTGCACGAGCAAAGATTAATTCTAGCCAACAAAGTCAGAAATGTCTCAGTTGTACAGGACACTGATTTCCAACATGGTTCCTGCCAATGGGTTTCCTGGCTAGCAATGTAAAACTCCTAGAAATTTTAAAGCCATGGCAATGATGTTTTTCCAGTTTGGGGGAAGGGGAGAAATTTTGGGAAAACTAAAGTGCATGCAATACTTAAAGTGCCATCCTATGCAAAGTTACACCATTCTAAGTCCATTGAAGTCAATGGGATTAGAAGGGTATAATTTTGCTTAGGACAGAATTGTTAGCTTCCTATCAAACCTAAAGTTATTCTTCTGATTTAACACCATATTTAAAAATAAAATTCTATTTGGCATATTTACAAAATTTAAAAATATAAATGTCTTCTTTTTTTATAATTGAAAATATACCCAATCCTTGAGAGAGAGAGCTGCAAACTGCCACACACTATACTGCCTTGACTCCGGGAATCTTATTTTTTGCAGCCCGAGAGGTAGAAAAAAAGACTGAAGAACAGAAACTAATTCTATAGTAAAGAAAAGAAAGTTTCATACAATCAAAATGCAGTACTACCAGCATACTTGCATATCAAATTAAACTTTATAACACTGAAAACCCTGAATTCTTTGTTGTTGTTGTTGTTCAGTCGCACAGTCGAGTCCGACCCTTTGCGACCCCATGGACCAGCTCCCGCCAGGCCTTCCGGTCTTCCGCCGTCCTCTGAAGTTTGCTCAATTTCATGTTCGTTGCATCCATGACACTGTCTAACTGAATTCTTTAATAATGTATTGTCATTAAACACATAATCACATATTAATTGTTGAAAAATTATTTACATTTAAACAAAATATATATTCCTGAAAACATGTTGTATATATCTACAGTATAAATTTATTTTATTTTATTTATTTATTTACGTGTGATTCATATACCGCTCATGACCCCTAGTGGGTCTCAGAGCAGTTCACAGAATACTACGGAGTAGTAGGTAATCCTATCTAGGGCCACAGTGTGATGAGGGGAGGGGAGACCTACCAGCACCCTTTTTCTTTCCGGCATAGACTTTTTTCCTTCTCTTGCGGCTTCATTGTTGTTCCGGTACTCCAGCTGGCAGTCGGTCAGGCTCAAGCAGGCAGTCCCGATTTTTCTTCTCCTCAGAGCAGCGCGCCCCGGGCGCAGCTTCGGCCAATGTCCTGAATGCTCCTGCCGCGCTGCATCCACGTCATCGCGCCGCTCGACTCCGACTCTGCTCGGCCAGCCGCTGCATTTTACTGGGTTGCTTCTGCTGCCATTGCTCTCTCGCCGCCACCGCTTCTTCTCTCCTCATCTCTGCCGGTCGCCCCCCCCAGCGTAAGCCAGGAGGAGGGTGCCCCCTGCCACCTAGGGCAGGTACCCATTCCTCTGTTGTTAATTAGAGCTGCTGGGTTGGCGGGAGCTGGGACGGGGGCCGGAGGCTCAATCTGGCCGCGGTGGGGATTCGAACAGCCATTGTGGCTGTTCGCTACAGATGTTTACAGCAGGCGTTGTATTGGAATTATCTGAATTCCATAGGAATTATCATTACCTAATATTTTCTCTTAACACAATGTGGGGATTTGAGTATGTTAGTGAAGCTGAGAGCAATATTGTAAGGAGTTTACTCTGTAAAGAGCCTAAACTCCTAGTAGAGCCACTCAAGGTGGAGTGGTCAAAGCTGAGACACTGGACTAAGGTGTATCCACCCCTTTCAAGGATCAATGACCACATCAGCAGAAGAGAACGGACAGTTCCAACGGTTATGGGGGTGGAGGAACCCATGAAGAGTGGCTACTGGGAAACTACTGGGAAGCAGCAGTAGTGGAAGCTGATACCGGAGGAGGATCTATCATAGACAATGGCAGTGACACTTTATTTAATACTGGTTAGTGCTATGCAGAAGAAGGCAATTTTTTGGGGGGGGTTTTGGCCCCCCGAAGGGGATTTTTTTTTTTTTTGCATTTTCTACACACTACAAATAATGGGATGGGGTAAGGATGACTAATGCCCTAACACTATTACTATGGGAATTGGGTTAGGGAAATCTATGTACATATACTCTACTGGATTGGGGAAGGAAAGACTACCATTCTATTCTAAATCATCTACTGAATATGGGGAAAGGGTACATACTAATACAAATCACGATCAAGAAAGCTTAAAAATAGTTCTTTCAAACCTATTGTTACTGATTATACAGAGATTAGTTCAATTATAAAAAGTATAAAATTATTAGCTTGACACAATTACTGCCCTTAGCACTCATGCTTTAATTTTAGAGTCTTTTCTTCTTGGATTTCTTCGCTTTCTGTAATTTGGGAGCGGCGTCTCCTTTCTCCGATTCAGACGATTCTGAAGACGAGGATATTTGGCTTGTTGAGTCCTGTGAGTAGGACTCCTCCTCCTCCTCCTCTTCTTCTTCCTCCACATCCGATTTTAAGTTCTTTTCCTTCTGCTTCGTTTTTACGTTAAACATTTGATCCATAATTTTTTCCGCTTTTGAAACAGAATCAATTTTATATTTTTTATCTTGATAAGTAAAACTCAACCCTTCCAGGAATAGCCATCTATACGATAATCCCTTTTTTTGCAGGGAGAGAGTAAGCATCCTGTATGATTTCCTCCTTTTTCTTACTTCAAATGGGATGTCTTTCAAAAAATTTATCTCTTCATTCTTGATTTTTAAGGATTTCCCCATTGCTGACTTTAGCACCAGATCTCAGGTTGATTGTTTCGTGAATTTTATATAAGTTTCCCCTGGAAGTTTATTTTTCTTTATAAAATCCGGATAAGTCCTGTATGCCGCATCCATTTTCTTAATTAAATCTTCTTGTTTGTAACCCATTAGTGGGGCCAAGGCAACCATGAAAAGTTCCTTTAAATTCTATGGAAACATAGAACATGCATGGATCTTTCCAGCTGGAGCTGTATTAGTTGTGCTTTTTCCGAGGATCTCTCCTTCTCTGCTTCATCCACTCTTTTATTAATACTCTCAGTCCGTTTTTCCATTTTTTTTCACTGTTTTCTCAGTTGCTGTAGTCCTCTTGTCCATCTGCTTTAGCTGTTTTTGCACATTATCTAGTTTGGAGTTGAAAGCAGTCATCTGTTCCATTAGAGAGCGCAGTGCATTTGCTAACAGCGAAGAAAAGTCTGTTGCTGCTTCCTGGTTCTGGGAGGGAGTCGTTGGTATATTATTTCCGGTCACCAGTTTTTTTTCCGCCGCTCTCCGTCCACTCCCAGGCATATCAACAAGAAGTAAGTTTTCCAAAATGAAGCAAAAGTTGTACGTTTTAATTCCGCTTCGTATAGTTTGGCAGTTTATGCGTTGGCTTAACTTCTTATGCGCTTGGTTTAGCTCAAAGTCTCTTTATTTCTGCTTTAAAACCATTTTTTACAGTTTACTCTTATGGGGGGGGCTTGGAATCTCCTCCCCCCATGCTTCAAGCTTAGGCGCTTCCAATTATTACCAAGGCTCCCTCCACTTATTTTAACCTGAGCTTTGCTTAACTCACAGTTTGTAGCCTTGGAGATCTTTTGGAAGTCTTTTACAAGTTTAGTCGTGATCGCTTGCTCCGGCAGTCGTCTCTAGGTGCCATGCTGGCTCCGCGGCAATGGTACCTATCGGGGAAGAAGGTGAGCCTCAATTCCTCGGGCGTCCCCTTGGAAGAGGCTCTCCTCAGCTCCCCAGGCTGGGGGTCTCCTACAGAGACCCGGGGTGTGTGTGTGTCTGGGACGAACTCAAACCCCTCCCGTCAGCCGGGTCTCGGCGCGTCCCCATCAGAGCAAGACGGGACGCATCCGAGTAGCGAAACGCTTAAACCAGAAGTCCCAGAAGAAGGCAATGGTAAACCACTTCTGATTTCATATCTTGAAAGCCATATGAGAAAAACTCACAACAAAAAGAAGATAAAGTGCTGCAATACAGGACCCCCAGATTGTAAGGCACTCTGGGGAAAAGCAGAAGACAAATACCAGTACCGCTGTCCCTAATGATGCAACCAGATTAAAACTGAAAGGACATTCAGTTACTCATGTAAATGCATGCGAAATGAAAGCTCAAAGCTGTACGACACTTATCATAGGAACATGGAATGTGAGAAGTATGAATCAAGGCAAACTTGAAATTGTAAAATGAGATATGGAACATTTAAACATTGTAATCCTGTGTATGAGTAAACTAAAGTGGACTGGATTAAGGCAAACTCAGAAGGAACACTCATGCTCTAATAGTGAAGCCAGATGTCGCACAAGCTGTCAGCTGCTATAATGCAAAGTCTGACAGAATCGTATCAGATTTCATTAAAAGCCTATAAACAGAATTATAATTCAACTTTATGGTCCGATTAGAGATGCCAAAGAAGAAACTGAAAGCTTTTTAATTTTAAAAAAAGCAATTGGAAGAAACAAATCACCAGGATTAGATGGGATATCAATA